ATATAAAACTAAATTACCTAAAACTCAATTATTCATTAGTAATCACTAATCAGTAGAATCTATTTGAAAAAAATTATATTATTTAGTTGATAGAAAATTTATTCAATTGAAAAATAAAAATTTCAAATTTGAGAAAAATGATTTTTTTTTAATATTTTTATTTTTCAGGAATAAGGGTCAAATATGCCACTTAACTGCACACCAAATTACAATTACGTCATTGAACTCAAAAACAATGCAATTGAGTCCCTAAACAACACAAAATCATGCAATTAGGTCCAAAATGTTCTGTTTACATGAAAAAACGGTTACCGGTTTTAAAAATGACTTTTAAAATAATTTAAAGTAAAATAACTAATTAAAAATAAAATTTTTATAAAAAAAACTAAAAAAAAAAAAAAGGAAACTCCATGGCTAGGACGAAACCGCCGGTAGTTTAGGTTTTTTTTAAAAAAAAAAATAATAATTTTAATTAATTATTTTATATTAAGTTATTTAAAAAATAATAATTTTTAAAATCGGTAACCGCTCTTTCAGGTAAACAGGTTATTTGGGACCTAATTCCATGATTTTGTGTTGTTCAGGAACCCAATTGCACTGTTTTTGAATTCAATGACCTAATTGTAATTTGGTGTGCAGTTGAGTGGCCTATTTGACCATTATCCTATTTTTCACAATATTTGAAATTTGGAATTAAAACATTCTTGGGAATGAATAAAGAATAAAATTAAAATTCGTCTACATATATTAATCACAACTAAATATATAGTTATATATTCCATTTGTTAAACATCAATATGAAAAGACAATGATGCATGTAATTTAATTAGCTAGTAGACAAAAAAAAAAAAGTTTCACATATCTTTCTAAGTTAGACTTATAAAGTGTAATAAATGAAAGATTGTGACTTTTGGTAAATGCAACTTATATAAAAGATTGTGACTTTTGGTAAATGGTAAGACTAGTAGCTAGTGCCTAGTAGGATAGCTAGACTTGAGAAGGAGGTTACATCATTATGCAATAAATGATTTTGTTGATTTTATTGGGAACAAAAATACTATATGTACTCTCATTTTCTACTCTCAATTTTTATTTTTACATTTAAAATTTTATTATAGACACATTTACAAGAATTCATATGAAGAAAATAACCTATTAATATTCGTCACATAAAAAATAAATTTAAAAAAATAAGATTTGAAAATACATGTAATAGAAATTTCCAAAGTCATATGGAACTATGGAACTTTGCATATGACGCCATACCTCCTAATATCCTATAGTCCTATGCCTTTTTATCCCTATCCATTCTCCATCATTTAATTCTCATCCTTCTTTTTGACATCCATCTACTTGCCCATATTATATTTTTGAAAATTTGAAAAGATCTTTTAACCATGAAACCACACAAATACTAATAAAAAATATCAAATCAAATTTACTTCACATAATAAAAATGAAGGGTTAAGTGAAAAAAGGACTAAAACTAAATCAATAATTTATTTTGCCACAAATTCTTAAAAGCAGTACTTGCCTTGTAACTTAACGAAAAACATCTCCCACCCTTTCAAACAATTAATGGAGGGGTAATGGACGGATAGGTGCAGGGGTTGACACATGTTGGATTTGGGTAATACTTAGCTTGAATTTTACTTTTGATATTTGCAAATTTTGAGTGATTTTTTTTTATTTTTTTTTACAGTACCTGATATTCCATCTAAATTTAATTTAAATATATTTAATTCAGGTAAAATTATTTCGAGTTAGTTAGGTATACCCTTTCAAACAAAATACTACTCCGTAATAATTATGAAGTAACTAAGTTTTAAAAATTAATACAATTTTAATTATGAAATATATTTAATAGTCAACATATATTTTTATATTTATATTTCTAATAATTTGGGGTTAGTTCGGATTTCAAGTCGGGCATGTATGACATTTTGACACCCAATATTTAAATCGAATTTACACTACTGGAAATTATGGAATTTCCGACCACCTGAAAGTAATCTCAAATCAAGTCGAAGCAAAGAGTGGTCGGAAATAGCAACAAAGGTTTTTCCGGATACCAAAAGTGGTCGGAACAAGACTTTCGACTTGATTTAAGATCACTTTCAGGTGGTCGGAAATTTCATAATTTCCAGCAGTGTTATATTCACATAAATCATAATTAAAAATATCACACTGAGTTAAAAAAAAATTAAAAAAAATCACCCAAGTTTACCTGAAATTCAATTCAATTTTTAGGTGTTTGTTCAAATAATTCTAATTACTCTAAAGAGGACAAAACTAAGCAATATTTATATCATGCAGCATTGCAGGATTTGCAGCAACATGCACCCATCAAATCCATATTTTTTTCTCCTTATACTTTTTTTTTTAAAATATAAATTTACTTTTTCATTTTTCATTTTTTTTTTGTGAAATATAATTAATGTATAAAAATATATACTTAAAAACTTTTATTAAGATCTTTTGAATTTTATATATATATATATATATATATATATATATATATATTATGAGTTATTGATTTGAGAATTAGTAATGAGATATTTGGTAGTGAAACAGAATTTGTAGGTATAGTTAATATGAAGAGATGGAGGTGGTGCATTTATGTATGTGTGGTCACTCGGTCTCTGGACCACTTTAAGTGATGATGATGCATCGGAGTTGCTAAACATATATAATAAATGTGGAATATTGCATTAGATTAGCAACCTAGGTATGGTATATAGGTCGTCATAGGTACGGACGTATGGTATAAAATGGCAGAATGAAATTGAAGTCATAACTAGGGACGGTATATAGGTGTACCACCGAATAAAAGCTTAGATAAAGCTCACAAACGCAAAAAAAAAAAAAAAAAAAAAAAAAATTAAATGTCATATTTGGTAAAATAATTAACGTATAGATAAATTTTGGTTTATTTGATCATTATTAACTTATTGACTTGGTTAAAAATTCAATATAAGTATTTGGTCAATTAATTTTTTGTAACTTCAAAATGCTAAAATTCAAAAATATGTTCAAAGTAGCTTTTTGAGAAAAGAAATTATACCAAACAACTATCAACTAACAATTAATTTACCAAACATCTTTCTACAAATCAACTAGTTATATCCTCTAATTAACCCAATCAACTAACAGCTAACAACTATTTACCAAACAGGGCCAAAAAGAAATAATCAAACGACTATAAATATGAGTTATAAGCAAATTCTTGGTAGTCAATATTGTATGTTTATTCGGGTTTGCAAGAAATATAACCCTATGATTTGAAGAAATTCTTAAAGATAATATTTCGAATGGTTGAAAAAAAGATGTAGATAATTAATTATTTTGATATGTCCACTATGGATGACGAATATCTATATCACGATGAAGAGCAATACAATTGAAACATTAGAGTTAAGAGTTTAACACACTTGATGCCACATTATAGTCAATTTTGTATAAATTGCATATATATCTAAATAAAGTATCAAAGCATTAATGCTACTTCTTATCTCACTCCCCATCCCATCGTACTTTTGAATAATGTCATGTCCCTATCCCTCTCCCTATCCCTCTCCATATACTCTCATATTTAATTTCCTTTTTACATAATTTTGCTTGCCCATATTATATTTCATGATTGTATATATGCCACCAAAATTATATTGTTGAAGATTAGATTATGTGGGTACTCCGTCCTAACCATGAAACCACAGAATGGGAAACATCAAATTTCATATAATATGAAATTTAGAAAGATTTTTTTTTTTTTGAGAACAAATTTAGAAAGATTAAAGGTGAAGGAATTAATAGAAATAAAAATAAAATAAAATAAAATAAAATAGAAATAAAATGATCCATAATGTATGTATGTATTAATTGGAAGAGAGGAAAAAAGGAAGATTGCTCTCTAAGGTGTAAAGAGAAATATGTGTAGTGTGTAGCATAGATTTAGAAAGATTGAGAGATATGATATATGCATCAATGCATGTGCTCTGACCTGTTTCAAAACCATAACAAATTGGTAAATTTATAGCAATAAATGAATTATAAGTTCCAATCCAACTCTCAAGGCATGGTCTTTATCAATCATTTTTTTTTTTTTTTTGAATGCTACTAGCTCTATTACATTGTAGTATCTGTTCATATACTTTCTCAACCTACTGAAACACAAAGAGCTAATAACGCCTCCACTGAAGCTCGAACTTACAACCTTCCAAATGGAAGTCCAACCCGGATACCATTAGACCACATAGTCCTGCTTTATCAATCATTTAATTTAGGCAAAGATTATATAATCTTCTTTTATACTCCGTAATAAATTTTGAAAGACAAATATAATTGGTAGTTTTATCATTTAAAAAAATAAAAATCTTAAGGTATTATTCCGTAAATAAATAAACTTTGAGTGTAATCAGTAAATAGATAAACTTTGAGATTGTATTAGGATATTCAAAAAAAAAAGTCTTAATTAATAGGTAGGGGAAAAAATTGAGAGCTGATATGAGATGAGGGGAGTTGAGGTCACATTAAAGCTCTTATAAATAATCATTATCTGGAACTGGAAGCTATCATTCCTATTCCCTTTGCTTTTCATATTAGACTGACACATTAGAGTTCAGACACACATTCCTTTTACTTCCCATAAAAGTTTAATTTGAAAAAAAATACCCCATTTATGATAAATTTTCAATAAATTAAATAAACCAAACAACCCACACAATGTAAAACTAATCACTGTATTAGCTTTCAACAATCATAGCTATTTCTTTATTTTATGTTAATGAGCATGTGTTCTATTACAAAATCAATTATATATAGTTTAGTAGTAGTCGGTAATCATAGCCATTTCTCTCATGTTCGGTCGGTGCCTCTCATGTTCTATTACTTACCTATTTCATTCTCTATGGAATAACATTTCTATTCTCTCTGAATTCATTCTGTGAACCAAATGTGTCATTAGATTGTCTGTCACCCCAGGTGCTCAGATAAGAGCATTAATGGAGGACGCACGTTTTTTTTTAATAAAAATTTTCATTAATTTGGGGGCCATTGATCTAGATTTGATCAATGACTCAAATCTAATCTCATTTTTTATCTGAGAGTAACCCCGCACTAAAACTCATCCCTATATATATAATTAGTTAATATATTATATAGTATATATGATGTAGACGCAAGTCTTATAATTAATTAATAGCTTAGGTAGGTAAAATGAATTAATGTGGGCAAGGGCAAGGTAGGAAAAAAAAAATTGAGAGAGATGAGATGAGAGTTGAGGTTATATTATAAGTAGTGATGGATCATCTGAAACTGTAAGCTATGATTCCCATTCCCATTCCCTTTGCTACTGCTAGCTTAGCTTCTTTTTAAGAGAGTTCGATACTGTGATCCAGTTCAGAATCCATTCCCATTTCCTTAGCTTCTTTTTAATGGCATTATTTCAAAAAATCCGACAGAAAATCTTGGTATAAAATAATTTTATTCATTGCTAATTTAAAAATTAATTTTGCATCTACGTAACTTATTAACTTTGTTTTCTTGAATATAGAATTTTATAATTGGAATAAGGTTTATGTTGTTTATTGCGATGGATCTTCGTTTACCGGAGATGTTGATGCTGTTGACACTGTAAGTACTTTCAAATTTGATGATTGATAGTGCAAAGTCAACCATTTAATTAATTCAAAATACACTGTTCACTCTCATAAGTTATGCAATACAATGCTTTTTTTAACTTTAATTTTATACTATATTTAGGGTAATAATCTAACTTATAGAGGTGCACGGGTGTTCAAAGCCATTATGGAAGAACTACTAGCAAGGGGGATGAAGTGTGCAAAAAATGTATGGTATTTCACTATTTTGTGCTAATACTTATGACTCAAAAAAATAGTTAGACTACATATGTGCATTTTAAAACAAAATTGCTATATTTTTATATTTTTTTATTTATAGTGGCGAAATTCCCTCACCCTCGAGTTACTTTATATCCTTTTTTTTTTTTTTTTTTTTTTTTTTTTTTGGATTGCAAATCAGGGGAATACCCACATTATGTGTATGCCATACTACATAATAATTTTTTTTAAAATTAAATATTTGGTAGGCAATTCTTAGTGGGAGTTCCGCGGGAGGATTAGCTGCAATGATTCATTGCGATTACTATCGTGAGCTTCTCCCTATTACTGCTAAAGTAAAATGCCTCCCGATTGCGTCGTATTTTTTGCACCGGTAAGTCAACAATTAAATTCAACAATATAATTGTGAAATTTGCAATGAGTTGAAGTAACTAATATTATGATATGCCTAATCTTTCAATAGGGAAAATCAAATTGGAAGGAAACAGTTTGAGTCGGTGTTTGAGGCGTTAGTTACTTTACATGTATTTTCTCTTTTCCTAATCTTAATTTATCCTTTTTTATAAATATTTATTTTTATCAAAATTTATTAATTTTATTCTTTACTATGGGTTAATAGGGATCCGCCAAAACTCTGCATCCATTGTGCACTTTGTCAATGAGGCCAAGTCTGGTAAGCTTACACTAATTTTAGTATGAGTTTTAATCGTGGCATAATAAGAATTTTATTTTTGCTACTAATTATGTTCTATTTAATTCACAGTGTTTTTTTCCACAATATTTTCTGGTGTATGTTAAGACACCGATTTTCATAGCAATGTCGGCATTTGACAAAATTCAGGTTATCTCTTTATTAAATAATGATAATAACAATTTTATGGCTTTTATTTTTTTTTTAATTTGGTTTTAATATTAGTTGAATCTTTTTAAATACTAACATGTTATTTAATCATAAATATATTAATAGTCTCCAATATTCGAACATATATAATATAACATTATTTCAATGTTTTATTTATTTTAGGTATCATTTAATTTGTATTATGAGGATGAGTTATGCCTTCTAAATAATAGCTGCAATAGTGACCAGAATCAGGCCATACAAGGTGAGTACTATAAGTTACCTATACAAATTAATACATTATTATATGATTTTATTTTATTTTATTTATTGTGTACTATATTTATGTATCAAGTAATTAACGGTATACTTAATTTGTATATTTTAATCTACGGTGCTAGCATTGCCCTATTATTATTATTATTATTATTATTATTATTATTATTATTATTATTATTATTATCATTATCATTATCATTATCATTATCATTATCATTATCATTATCATTATCATTATCATTATCATTATCATTATTATCATCATTAATTGTAGTTTTATTATTAATTTTCAGAGTTGAGAAGGGACTTTTTACTTGAACTACTACCCACATCCATTCCTTTACAAAGAGGAATTTGGATTACAAATTGCGTTGCACATGACTTGCCATACTCTTGGGCACTCGTGGAGAATATGAAAACCTTAGGCTACAAGGTAATACATTTGTCATAATGTGTTGTTAAGTTAAATATAATTATTTTTTACTTGATTCATCGACAATATTTATTTTTTAATTCACAATTTTAATATAAATTGTTTATTTTACAGACGTTTCCAGAAGCATTTGATGATTGGTATTTTGATAGAAGTTATATCCTTGTGATTGACACTTCAGAGGAGGCTAAATATTGCAGTTCAATTGGAATATCTCCATAGGAACATATTATGTTGTAATAATGTATTTTCCTAAGTTAGACTTATAAAGTGTAAGAAATGAAAGATTGTGACTTTTGGTAAATGGAACTTTATGAAGCTATGAAATACGAATACTACTTATAGTAAACATACATTATATTGTTAAATATATGCATTAAAGAATTTCATATTATTTTAATGTTTATTTTAATTGTTAAATTTAGAGTAAAGTATGCACAAAATTGAAATGTTAAATTAGTTTAAATTTGATAATTAACATTGTTTCACATAGATTTTCTTTTTTAATGTATGTTGAATGTTTTCGTTATCTCTATTAACTTATACTTGTAACTTGTGTCTTATGGTAGGATTACTAGTTGGTAGGATAGCTACACCTGATAGTAAAACATTTTCTTTTTGGGAACACTGAACTTTGTAGAGTGTTGACATCATTTTGCAACCAATGCAAAATAAGGAACTGATCAAGGTACTACTAATAGCAAAATAATATTTAAGTGATAAAAGATACATGTAATTAACTTAAAATAGTCACATTTTGTTATATTGTATATATCTATCATTATTATCTTTCGGTAATATATTATTATTAGAGCAAATTACACTTTTGGTCCTGTGACTATTAGGGGTGTATTAATTTGGGTACGTGACTTTTAAAACTAATAATTTAGTCCTTTAACTATCATTTTTTTAGCAGATTTGGTCCTCCTGGCCAAATTTCCGGTGGAATTTGACCGGAAAGACATTCGAATTTTTAAATCAAATATTAGTGGGGGTAATTCGATCTTTTTAATTGTAAAAAAAATAGCGTTTGATTTAAAAATTTGAACGTCTTTCCAGTCAAATTCCACCGGCAATTTGGCCTGGAGGACCAAATATGCTAAAAAAATGATAGTTAAAGGACTAAATTGTTAGTTTTAAAAGTCACGTACTCAAATTAACACACCCCCAATAGTCACAGGACCAAAAGTGTAATTTGCTCTTATTATTATTATTATTATTATTATTATTATTATTATTATTATTATTATTATTATTATTATTATTATTATTATTATTATTATTATTATTATTATTATTATTATTATTAATTGTAGTTTTATTATTAATTTTTAGATTTGAGAAGGGACTTTTTAATTGAACTACCCAAATCCATTCCTTTACACAGGAATTTGGATTACAAATTGCATTGCACATGACTTGCCATACTCTTGGGCACTGGTGGAGAATATGAAAACCTTAGGCTACAAGGTACCTAATACATTTGTCAGAATGTGTTGTTAAGTTAAATATAATTATTGTTTACACAATCCATCGACAATATTTATTTTTTAATTCACAGTTGCAATATATATAAATTGTTTATTTTACAGACATTTCCCGAAACATTTGATGATTGGTATTTTGATCGGAGTTATATTCCTATGATTGACAGTTCAGACGATGCCAAATATTGCAGTTCAATTGGAATATCTCCATAGGAATATATGTATTTTATTTTATCATTGGCATATCTGAAAAATGACTTATACAATTTCTTTTATATTGATCTTTGTAACTCTTAAGTTCATCATATAATCACGGAAGAAACATATATGGATCACACCATGTTGATATTCTGGTCATGTAACATCTTTTCTAAGGCCAATTGCTTGCATATACGTAATACTTACGTGCTTGTAAATTATTAATTCTTTGATAAGATTTGTGTAAATTGCTGATAATCTCACACTCCTTTAAAAAAAATTTAATTATTACAATTAAGATATAGCACTGTAGCATCGCTCTAATTATATTTCTTTGTCAAGAAAATTAATTATTTCCTTAATTCATCATTTCTTCTTGAGAGGTGGAAATTGGACATTATATTCGATCAATTTAATGCAGATCTTTCTTTCAAAAAAATTAATGCAAATCTTTGAACAGATGGAGGTGTCACTTTGTCAGTCCATCCATGAACAGATGACGTAAAAAGTAAAAAACAATCAATTCAATGAGTAAAAAGCAAGGCCAGTAAGCTACATCTCTTGGCAATCAATTCAATGAGTAAACAATCAATTAAGGGGATGTTTGGTTGATGGAAAATATTTTTTTAAAGAAAATATTTTTTTTAAGTGGAGGAAAATATTATTTTTTGGTGTTTGGTTCATGGAATTTATTTTTCATTAGAAAATGAATTCCTTAAATTTGAAGAAAACAAAATTCTTGGTTGGACCAAAGATTTTGTTTTCCATAGAAGATGGGAAGAAAAAGTGATATGAATTACTTATTTTACCCTTATTTTTTTTTTATAATTATATTACTCTTATTAATTTGTAGGGACATATAGGTCATTATACTCATCATTCTTTACAATTCTAAATCTAACCAAACAATAGAATTAGTATTCCGATTAATTTTTTTTTCACCAACCAAACAATAAAATTCATCTTCCTAGTAATTAGTTTTCCATAGAATTTCAATTCCACTTCTCTTAAAATATTTTTCGCGAACCAAACGAGCCCTAAGGGAATAAAGTAAAAAACAATCAATTCAAAACCAACATATAAAATGGTTTCAATCTACCGCACAATGCACAGGCATCTTTGGCGAAGAAGGAACGTATTACTTGTAGAGTCAATAATGGCAGAAGGCATAACTACATTAATTAATTATATAATTGAAATAAAAGGGGAAAAAAGGTTGAAGACTTGAAGTTACAAGCAAAAGCTTGAAAGTCTTAGGCTCGGCCCTGAGCAAGGGCAGGTTGGGCCCTTGCCTAGGGCTCACACTTGGAAGGGGCCCACTACCTTAGCCATCCGATTACCTTCACGAAATCAGTCGTGAGAAAGGGGGATCAGTCGAAAAAGAAGCATGATACCGACCGGGCATTCGAATGGCCAGTCAGGATTGGAAAATAAGGCGGTCAGGAAACTCTAATAATGATTCCTAGTTTCTTTTTCTACTTTTTTCAGGTCACTGTTCGGCTAGACCTAAAAAAGTGAGGACTGGTGATAGATACCCCAAAACGGATACCCGGTCGGGGGCATGAGGCAAAACAGTCAGGTTCGAGCATGTGCGAGATGGTTGGCATCCGCGATTCCCGACTGACATATGAGAAGTTGGGAGAATCGTAACCAGTCGTTCGTAGCAACCAGTCGTCCGTAGCAGCCAGTCGACCACAAGAGCAGACGCCTACCCAGGCGGAGAGCGGCCGGCTCGAGTAAAGCGACCAGGCTCAGTAGCCGGTGGGTCTTCGCCTGGGTTCGTACATGAGACGCGGTTGGGCGACTAGCCTCCGTAGTCGACGTGTCCTCGACTGAATGCCCCGCTGGGATTTGGATGGGCGATAGGCTCCGTGGGCGGTGTGTCCTCGACCGGGTACCACTCACGAACTCAATCGGGCGACCAGACTTTGCGGTCGGCGTGTCCTCGCCCGCAGGGATGGAGCCAGGAATTTGGTTGAGGAGGGGCAAAACAGTAGAGACGGATTCAGAAATTTTTTCCAGTAAAACCGAAACATTAAAACAAAAGAGATAATTTAAAAATAAATAAATAAATTACTTAAGAAATATAGTTGTAAATATTGTTGGATATGGAAGGAAAATAAAACACATCGAAACTTTATAAAAATATTTATAACAAAATATGAAACATAATTAATAAATTGTAAAACATTGTTAATGCCAAGATTTGAACCCTTAACCTCACTATAGCCAAATATGTGCTCTACCACCTGTACTATATATACATATATACATACAAAGACTATATATGGGGTGGGGGTGGGGTGAGGGGGCGCAACGGCCCCCCTTTGGCTCCGTCCTTGCTCGCCCGAGTACAACGCCCCCCCTCAAAACATCTCCTAGGCAGTCAAGGCGTCCCCGGCTGGGTGTTCGCCCAGAGATGGTTACAAGTAGATTTCATGGAGATCTCTTTCTCCATTTAATGCAAGTAGCTTCCTTTATTAGGTTAGATAGTTATGGTATTAAGTAGGCTGGATTCCTTAATTGATTTGGCTCTACGTCAGCCTTACTTCCTTAACTGGTTTGGCTCTACGTCAGCCCTAATTTAGTTGTATCGATCTTGTACTCTTGTATAAATATCCCCATGTAGCTCTCTCGTCTCTTTGGCACTCCAGCGGCCGAAACCCTAGAGAAATAACACTACATTATTCTCTCAATAATTACGCCAGTCTTTCACTCATACAAGCATTTTCATGTATTTTATGGTAGTGTTGACCCGCCGCTGACCTGCATCCAAAAACCGTAAAACCAACACATATGATGATTAATATTCTCCATACATTATTAACGAAAAATAATGAAAAAA